AAACAGCGAACGTGTTGGCAGAAAGCCCTTGTCAGCGAACAAAACAACAGAAAAAAACGGTATACAAATAAAAATAAGAAATAGCACTTAGCTGGTAAGTAGTATCTGTGGGCAGCAATAGAAGTGTGAGCACTTCTTTTTTAAGAGCACGTGCCTTGATCTCATTTGGTGTGATCGTAAACAAATAATTAAACACTTAACCATTAGATTTAGGTATAATAATTGAACGAACCAATAAGCCTTTATTTGTTCATGTTGTATGAATTGCTCAGACCACATTCAGCATCCATTAAGACGTGGTCCCATTTGCCGTCAACAAATCTACACAAGAGAATCAGCTTTTTGCGGGTAAGTTTTGAACAGACAGAATAAATCGTGTTTCAATGTTAAGTCTTTAACAGTGATAATCTCAGCCAAAGCAGGACATTACTAATTCCAAAAGAGAATTCCATTTTTATTTCTTATTTTTGTTCTTGTTGTTGCTAACCTGCTGTTCTGAAGCTTACAACATTTTGTAAATTGTCGAAGTCATTGTGTTTCTATTGGGTAAAAAAAAATATCATGTTTTTATATGTTTCCTAACTCTTTAAATTACGTTTTCCTTGATTTTTCCCGCCAATGGGACGATTTTCTTTTTTTGTTTTCTTTTGGCTTTAGGCGTGTAAATCCAATGGGCAGAAGACTGTGTGTAAAATCCCAAGAAACTATTTTTTTCCAACAGCAACGGTCAAATAGTTCAAATAATTTATTCTAAATTATATACATATATATAATCAAAATCACAGGACTTGATCGGCCATGAGCGAAATTAGTCAGGACGATTTCTATTTTATGTTGACAGTGCAAGTTGGCATGGTGTAAATGTGCCGGTTGGGCCATAGTTAACCCACCACTGATTGTTCAATGTCGTTTTAGTTTCGCCTTATAGTTTATAGCTGTATTTTTTTTATTTTTTTAAAGTGCCTCATAGTTTATAGCTGTTGTTGTTTTTGTAGTGCTTTATAGTCTATAACTTTTGTTTTGTGGTGCCGTATAGATTATAGCTGTAATTGTTTTTGTAATGCTTTATAGTCTATACCCTTTGTTTTGTGGTGCCGTATAGATTAAAGCTGTTTTTTTTTTTTTTTTCTGTGGAGCCTCATAGGTTATAGCTGTATTTTTTTTTTTTTTTTTTTTTTTTTTTTTTTTTTTTTTTTGTTTAATTTTTTTTTTTGTTTTTGTTTTTTTTTTTTTTTTTTTTTTTTGGTCTGGAATACAATTTATATTTTGTACAGGCTCTTTGGAGCTCAGGTGTCATTTTGTATTGTTAATATTTTGCAAAGGCTCGCTGAGCTAAATGTCATTTCAAGAGATTGGCCGAAAGGGATTTTGTGTTTTCGGACGAGGACGAAATCAAATAGAAATCGAAGCCAAAAGTTTAACGAGACTTTCGGCCAAAACAAAAATCGTTCGTGTATACCTTCTGCATACGTAGAAAACTGATTTTTTTTTTTGGGGGGGGGGGGGG